TTTCTTCTATCATCTCTGTTTTATGCCCATTCCTCCCAGTTTAGACCTCCAGCCCAAACAGATCCAGGCAACAAAGGACACCTCTATGGACAACTCAACCCAAACGTGAACTCACTGTATGGAGCCCCTTCACACCCACCCTCCCAATCTATTCTGCCTTCTGAATGCAGTATCTCACAGAAAAAAACAACCAGCAGCAAGTAACCTCAAGGAACAAACTTGGCACCGTCCTCAGCTCCTCCCTCTCTACCACCCCCCCCTTCTCATCGGGTACACACACCTGCCCCACCTACCACTCCATCCCACTGCAACGCCTGGGCTCAGGCCCTCTTCTCTCCCGGATTTGCTACGGTGGTCCCTTCATGTGACCTCCTTGCCTCCAGCCTGGACAGTCTCCATTCCCTCCTCAGACACTACCCCAAAACCTCTGTCATTTCAGGTAAGGCTTTCTGCTTCTACCGCCTACACAAGGAAGTCCCCACTTGAGTGCACTGTACAGAATGACCTTCAGAAATCTAGCCCTCGACTGCCTCCTGATGTCATCTCCTACTCTCCCACACCCAACCCAGTTCTCCCGGCCCTGCTCTCTGGGCCCCACTCTCCCGGCCCCGCTCACAACACCAGGCTTGCTCAGTGCCTTTCCATAGGCTGCCCCATGGGACTAGCGCTCTTCCCCTACTCTCAGCTAGCTGTTCCTACTCTTAGTGTCTTGCACGGTTCAGCACAAAAGCCACCTCCTCAAGGGCTCCTCCCTCTGGACACTGGGCATTAGGGAGCCCATTCACATTCCTATCATAGCATCTGTAGGCTAACTTCCCACTAGAGTGTTCGCTCTGGATTCCTTTTCTCTTGGTACTCTCAGTGCCTAGCACAATGTCTGGTGCTTAGGAAACACTCAGTACCTGCAAAACGGACGAAATAATCCCCAAATGAAGATCATTTCCCACTTCTCGGGCTCTCCTCTGTACAGCACCATAACCTTGGTCTGTTTGTTCTTCCCATTCCTGAACGCTAGTTTATCCTCTAAAAAAATTTTTAGAAGTTAAAATTTTAAAAAAAATTGAGATTAAAAAAAAAGCTCCCCAAATCTCCCTACTTCCTTGCCTAGATTTTGCTTAAATATTTTCATTTCCTTAAAAGGCATCAAACCTGAACAATAACTTCAGATATTAAAACAACACCCATATTTTGGCAGTCAAAAACTCAGACGAATTATAATTAATAATACGTTGTTTACACAACTCAGATTTCAACAAAGATCTTCGGTACCACTTTCCAAAATTGTTGATTCTGTTATCAATTTGGCGGGGTATTGAACCTGAAGACAAATGTAAAAATTAAACTGCCAAATGTTTCTGAAGAGATGAAAAATAATTGTTGTAGGAAATAAAGGATATTTTACCACTGGCAGTTTTCTGTTCCCACTTTTGGCTAATTCCGATTAGTTCTGGGTTATAAAGCATGTCATCCCGTTAGTGAGTGGTCCATTATCATAATCATCTCTCGTGTGTCTTCAGATAATGCTCCCTGCAATCTCTTACTTGGGACGTCTTAGCTGCAGCTGACAAGGCCAGATCGCGCTCAGGAGCTGCGAAGAAGAGCTGAAGGTGCTTTCATTCAGACTTCTAATTCTTAGGTACTGACCGTATGGCCCCGCCATGCCACTTCCCCCAAAGTATTTAGGGCACAGACATAAAAACTTACATTCAGACAAAAGCCGGTGTGCAAACGTTTACAGCAGCTTTCCTCGCAAGCACCCCCGCAAGCACCCCCAGGGAGAAGCAACCCAAACGTCCCGGGGAAATGGATAAACAAACTGTGGTATGTCCATATAGGGGTCTACAGCTTGGCAACAGAGAAACGGCCAGTACGGAGACGCGCGACAACATGGATGGATCTCAAATGCACTTTACTAAGTGAAAGAAGCCATTTGTATGGCATTCTGGAGAAGACCAAATATAGGGACAGAACACATCGGTGGTTGCCAAGGGTTGCGGTGGGAAGAATCTGCCTACCAATGTACAGCAGGAGGAAAGTTCCGGGGGTGATGGAAACATTCCCTGTGGATAGTGGTGGTAGATACACAGCGCTATATGCTTGTCAAAACCTATAAAACTACACACCAGGGTAAATTTTACTGGATGTAAATGTAAAAGTGAAAAAAGTTAATTATTTAACCATGACTCAGTTAAAGATCCATCCCTCAAATATAATTAACACACAGGTGTAGATTTCCTCAATGTTTACTGCAGATGTGGTTACTGTACAGATTAGGAAGAGATGTTAGGGGAATGAGGAGGGAACAACCCCAAATCTTTTCCAGATACTTCCGGTTTCCCTTGCACTGGCAACCGTCCTGGGGTCCCACATCAGGACAACCTCTGCTCCAGCTGTGAACAGCTAGATGGGGAGTTCTAGCAAGGAGATGAGGGAGGTTATTCAAACCCAACAGAAGACAGACCCAAGAAAGCATTTCAAGGGAAGAAAAAAAGGAGGACGGGAGACACAAATCTGAAAATTCTAACTCATCCTAGTCAAAGGTGTATGTAGAAAATTCCATCTACATGTTGGCTGCCTCCCTCCTAAACCCTTCTTTAAAAAGGAGTCAAGGTAGACGGGGGCAGGGAATCTCTTTGTGAGAAAAGGGGGGCGGCGGGAGAGAAACAAGCCTCCTCTCCTGAAGCAGGATGCTGAAGAGTCCTAAAAGCCCTGGGTCTCATGTTTCTTAACGTGGAGAAAATAATTCCAAGTAAGCAAGTGATGAAAACAAAGGTTCAACACCCTGTGACACTTTCCAGTGTACCCTCATCAGCCAAACCCCCACATCCCTCCTCCAGAGGGGATGGCCAGCTTGTCATCCTCGGAGGCTGCCGCAGGCAATCCCTGGCAGGCTCCAGGTGTGGCCATCCGCATGGCGACAGTGACAGCAAGGACACAGGCCCGGCCCCAAGTGTGGGTGCCACCCCGTTCCCTCCCGGCTCTTCCAGGAAGGAGAATGCTGTTGCTCATTCTCCACACTCACATTCACATTCCCAAGCCCAGAAAACTCTCCGTTCCTGTTCCTGTCCCCGGAGACCTGGGCCTGCTACATTGTTATACCTCAGCAGGAGACCGCCACCTGAGACAAACCTCAGTCCACAGATGAGCTCCTGATTGCTGCCCCGGAGAACCAGCTCTCCAAGCTTAAACAGCCCTTGCAGCTGGAAAGACTGGCCTAAATGCAAAACAAATGCGATTTTCCAGGAGCCTTCTGGGGGGGGAGGAGGAGTAACAAAGCTAAAAATGACGGAGAGAGTAAACCAGAACATTCTGTGACATGCAATGCCTTACAAAAAGGGCTCTTAAAACATACTATCAAGAAACATTCATTGCACGGGGTTAGCTGTCAAAGTTAAATAAAAATCACTGACTTTCTAAAGACAGGAGTGAAGGACTAAATTATAAAACAGCTTATTGTATTAAGCTCATTAAGGTTTATCATATCAGCCATCTGAGTTTTAGCTGGCACCAGAAAAGCAGGGGCAGCATATCATACAACGTGGACTGCGATCTGCTTTGCAAGCAGATTTCTACCACACTCAGGCACAAAACCTCTGGCAGTCGAAAATGATGTAGAATTGAAAACCAATTTTAGCACAGTGATTTGTAAAGAATTTTGTTCCATCATGTAAGCTATTTACTGGCATATCAGGCCAAGATTACATTTATCTTTATTAAATACTACACAAAGTATTCTGAGCTAACCATGCCCTCGCTTCCCTTTTCCCAGCTTTATCACACACTGGATGCTCTGCAATCACATGAAAAAAATCCTTAACAATACAAACCCTTGCATACTTGACACCCTTCACTGCAGAAACTCTGCCCACCAACTGCCAGCACACAACTTCACATATTCTAAGATCCTCGGCATTTCTGAAAAGACTCGACTCTGCACAAATCCAGGAGGAACAAAATCCCCTCTTCAAAGTAGGGGACAAATGTATTTTCAATCCTGTCCTCTATGGGCTCCTCTTGACTGTACTTCTACCAAACCAGGACACCGAAGGAGTTCTCTCTGTCCTTGAGATCATACTGGATAGGATTCTGGAGCTGCTTGGTTTCCTGTTTGGGGAAGTTGCAGCTCTTTGCACCAGGAACCCCAAGGCAAAATGTTCAGTGTTCCCCCTGTAAGCGCTCACTGCCTTTGTTCTTCACTTTGCTTGACTCCTTTCTGCTTTCTTCTCCCTGCTCCTCGAAAACCTCTGGTTTTGGGGGGGTGCGTAAAAATGCCAGCTCGAATTTAACTGCAAGCTCTCTAAGGCTTCAGACATTTTCCACCATCCACTGCTATAAAGCTTTGAGTTAACAGGCATCTTTACACAGATGAAGCCAGACTAGCCGGTTTCCTCCTGGTACGGCATTAACATTCCACGTTAAAATGTGTACCACCAATAATCCAATGGCAAACTCACCGTCAACAGCCCCCAAAATCAATAAAAGCCATTCCACCACTTGCCTCGGAGTTGACAAACCTTTCAGGTTAACACAGAGCACAAGGTAAAAGGAAGGTGATGAATGAACAAAAGGCAAATCTACCTTCAGACTCCTCAAATCCTAAAAAGGAGGCTAGGCTGCCTCGATTTGGCCAAGTCCTTCCTTTTTTTTTTTTTTGATCATCATCCGGATAATGCTACACGTGTGCTGCTTTAGTCTTATGCAAAGCAGTGCATTCTCCACAAGGCCCTGATGCCTACCATTCTCTAAACTTGCCTCTTTCCAGGCCTGCCTCTTTCTAAAGGACTAGCCACATGCGAGTTAATGAAGTCATTCTGATTTTGTCTTGATAGCAATACCATCATAAAGTCACTCTAATCCCATTAAACCTGGATAACATTAAGAGTATTCCTTCTCCACTCTGAGCCCCAAATTATCTCCAGGGTACCAATCCACTGTCCATCTGTCTCTGCATGGACCTTCAAATAAACACTTAAATTCATGCTCAAAATATCATATCTCACCTTGTGAACCTTGACCTTTTGGAAAGACTTTGGCCCAATGTTCAGTTACTGTCACACGGTTGCATTCTCTGCAAATATGAAAGGGTTAAAAAGCAGCCCCAGTCAACAGGCCTACAAGGAAAAAAAAGACAGCATGTATGCCTTACAGTATCACTGGAATGCATTTATGCTCATTTCCTAGAACAATACTGTTACCTTTTGGCCTTCATAATAGTCAGAAGTATCCCCAACACCCTTTAGTAGCTTCTAAAAGGGAAAGCACAAAACAGAACATACCCTGCAAGAGAAAAAAAAAAAAAAAAAGGCATGCAAAGTAGCATTCTCCAGCAACAAACAAACTACCATTACAAATCCATCAGTTCATTTTGGTTTTGTTTTGTTAGAAACACAGAGAAAGAGAGAGAGAGACTGCATAAACCAAGTGTCCCCACCCTAGCAAGGCACATTTTTTTCTTTAATAAGGGTCATAAATCTCAGCTCCTTGTCCATCCCTTAAGCAAAAGAAAAAGGCAGGAAAAGCCCAAGTAATCTCAGACCTTGCAAACCTGCACATTTTTTTCCATCTTCTCTACACAGAATCTTTTAGGGCTCCATTAGTCACGTACCAGTGCTGTGTGGTGTCTAAGTGTGCATTCACATACTGTGTTGGGATGGTACCTTCCTGCAAGCTCCTCTGCTTTTGGCTGCCATGAAGGGAGGAAGCTGCTATCCCACTGTAGTAGCTCAGTGACTGCATTGTGTTCAGGAGCTGATCTGCCTCAAACCAGTTTCAGCCGGTTCTGGTCACCCTACATAAAAAAGCTATGGCAACCCTCGCTGAGTTGCCAACAAGTCCCTGAAAATCATCAGCACAGAGGGGATCTCGCTAGGGGTTGCTTTTCCCTTTTAGGTCTTCGTGAGGAGGGGAAGGTCATCGTGTGTCCCCCCCACCACCACCACCACGCAAGCACACAGCCTTGGAAAGGCTCACCTCACAAGCATCCCAGAGCCCCTCAGGGCCCATCCCCCCTGCCCGTCCACCCCAAAGCCCACCGCAGACACTGTTTCCCCCTCCTTCTCCTTCCCCCACTTACCTCCTACAACCTGGCTCACACCTTTGTGTACGTGTGTGTCAGTGTGTGTTCTCTGTGCTGGTGGCTGACAAAGAGCCCCCAGGAAAGCCATCTATGTGTGTCTCCTCACACTGCATGCGTCGGCTGCGGGAGCGGCCTCGGCCTCCTAGCAGAGTGGTGCTGGCTTGTTGACCAGGCTCCTCTCCGCCTGTCACCCCCACCCCACCCAGCCCCCTCCTCCCGTCCCTCTCCTCGCTCTCCCAGCCCTGTCACCACCACCAGCAGCCCCCCCAGTCTCCTCCTCCTCCTCCTCCAACCTTCTCTTCTTTCAAGCACCTGGGGGGGGGCGGGGGGAGAGAGGTCCAAATCCCTTCACCTCGGGGTAGGGAACGAGGGATGCCTGGGGTGGGGAGGGGGGGCAAGTGAAGGGGCAGTGAGAACGAGGGGCACAGAGGCCTTTAAAGAATCCTCTGCGCACCGCCGGCGCTGGAGGGGGTAGGAGCGAGCTCCTGCGCTCACGTGGCCCCCCTCTCTGAACCTGTGGGGCCTAGCGAAACCGGCTCGTCCTCGGCCCCCCCAAGGAAGCTGGCGGGGCGCGAAGGCCGGCCGTCCCCAAGGCCAGGGTGGGACAGGCCACTGCAGTCAGGCCAAGGGGCCTGAGCCTCACGCGCTCGCCCCGGCCCGCAGGGGTGGGCCCGAGGGGCCGGCGCGCCCGCCTCTCCCCCGCAGCCCACCCGCGCGCCCCGGCCTGCGCTGCCCTCGCCCCTCGCTCGCCCCCGGCCGCCCCTCGCCGCCCCCCGCCCCGCGGGCGCGCACCCACCCCCTTCCCGGGGTTGGCCTTCGCAGCGGTCAAGCCCGGGCGTCTGGGCCGCGGCTCGGATGACCTTTGTTCAGCGCGGCGCCGCCGGCGGCTGCTGCTGTCGTCGGAGCGGCGGCGGCGGCTTCCATGTTACGGGCGTGTCATCTGCATTCCCGCGGCCGGGCTCTGTGTGTGCGCGTGCGGTGGAGCGGCCTCGCCGCCGCCCGCCGCCGCCGCCGCCGCCGCCCGCCGCCTCCCGGGCTGCCGGCTCCCGCGCCCCCGGGCCGCCCCGCCGCCGCCGCCGCCGCCGCGGCCTCGCCGTGCGCCCGGCCCCGGGCCCCGCGCCTCCCCGGGCGGCGCGCTCTAGGCCGCTCGGCGGCGGCGGCGGCGGCGGCGGGGCGGCCCGCCACGCCGGGGCCTACGGCTGGGGGTGCGGGCCCTGCGGCGGCGGCGGCGGCGGCGGCGGCCCGAGCGGCGAGCGAACAAAAGGGAGCGCGGCAGAGGGGGAGGGGGCGGCCGGTGGGGGGAGGGAGGATTCGGGGGGAAGGGAGGCGAGAGCGCGAAGCCCCGCAGCCGGCGGGCGCGGACGCCCGGCCGGCGCCGACTCCGCGGCTGCGAGGGGAGCCCCGCGGACCTGCCAAGTCTCGCCCATATGGGGCTGCTGCATGGCAGCTTGGCCCCGGAGAGCGGGCTGGTGGTGCTGAGGGGATGGAGGGAGGGCTGCTTTTTTTTCCAAACGACATTTCGGGCTCTCACCCAGTCCTTTCCATGGCCCCAAGCCGCAACTTACTCGCGTGGAAGGAAGCAAGGCCTCGCCAAAGACGGTTGAAAAAGACCGTGAGCCTCTACCCAGGATCTTGAAGCCAAGGTGGCGTTTTGTTATCCTCGTAATGGTGGCAAATAAGCAAGAAGAGAGCACGCTGTCTTCAGATAAATTAATCTGAAATTCTCCCTGGAGGTGGAAGAAGGGGTCTCCTCTGTTGAGTTAGTGGTTTGGAGCCCTTTTCGCCTTAAACTGAGCCACAAAAGAATGGAAGACACCCCCTGGGGTGGGGAGACAGCCCTGGTGTAAAAGACGCACGTTTTGCTTTCAGAGAAAAAGCCACTGGGGCCAGATTGAAACATGGCATGTTCAGTTCTTGTAGGGTTTTTTTTTTTTTTAAATGGGGGAATGATATTGAGTAAACAAGATGTAATAGCTCGGTCTTTAAATTCAAGAAGGGAGATGGTGTACAGATACAGCAAGCACATATTGTACATACAGCAGGTGGTCATAGCCTACAGAACGCAGAAAGATACATCTATAAACCCCGCTCAGACCACAGTGGTGTGTATAATCGTTAACACGTCCAAGAAGGAGACAATATGTTACCAACAGATCAGGTATGCTCTTTATCCAGCCCCGGGTCCTGGGTCCTACCTCTTTCACGGAGGTGCACTCAGTTGAAAGGCTTTTTGAAAGAAGAGAGAAACCCCATGTCAAGCTAATTGTGCTTGCCCTGGAACTAGGACAAAATGGAAGAGTCTGAAAAAAATGTCACCCTAAGCTCTTAAAAAGGCTCACTTGTGTGTGAACCGGGTGGACTCTAAAGATAATATTACTCGACTAGCACGGAAGACTCCCAGCATGGGAAGCTGTTGCTGTGTATTATATTTTAAATTAGATTAATTGGTTCATATTTGCAAAGTATGCTGAAAAGTTGTTATGGTTGGGGTTTTTTTTTTTTAAATCTCAGTATGCCTCTCCTTTGCATTAACTTCCATTGAGGAAGCCATTGTTCTCTATTATGGGGACACTATGATGTAAATTGAAAGTAGCATTTTTGCTATTTAAGACTTTTCATGTAAATGAACCGAATCATTGTCTGACGGAAGAGTTGTTGGTCTTTCATTGCAAACGGCAAATTGTTTGGAGTTGCACGTAAATTGGCACACATATTTACACGTGTTTAGAAAGACCTCTGTAATCTGCAAATTTTGACAGCCAGGGCATCACATTTATCAGTGTTACAAGATGATGAAACTGAAACTCTCATCTTCTTTTAGCCTAAAAACCGTGCCAGAGCTCTGTGGGTCGAGTTTCAACTTTACCTGGGCTTGATTCCATTTGAAAGGAGGCCTTTTTTCTTCTCCCAAAGGTGGGCCTTTATTAGCTTGCATGTAAAAACATTCCAGGCATTGAAGAGTATACAAGGACCTACTTATCTCAAATCTTGATGCACTACACATATCCTGATATATGAAATTTCATAATGCACATATCCTACTAAATCCTAGGTTCCCTAGATTTGGAATCTTTGTTTACTTAAAATGCTCCCTTGCCCTGCCCCCATTCCTTCTCTTAGGAGTTGAAAGCACAGCACAGCAGTCTTTGAATGGTTACACGAATTGTATTACCAAACTAAAGTCTGGACTTCTTATTTTTATCATAAAGAGGCTTCAGTTGTACAACTGCCTCGTGGCCTCGTAATGCCAAATACTTTTTGAGCAAAGCTTTTTACAAAGCCCAGTATTTTGGTCAAACTCGCTGGAGGAAATTAGTTTGAAAGCACAATTCATCATTTGCACAAACGGCGACAGATAACATTGCATCTGCTTTTAAAAACCATAAAAACCGAAAATAAAAATAATAATCTCTTGCACATTGTCTCAGTTCTATTTTTACAAAGAGGATTTTAGAGAAACCCTTTTGCCAGGTAGACCAACAGTAAAAGCAAAGCACCCATCCTAGCCCATTCTAGAAGATTACTGAGTTTCACAACAGAAAAAAAAAAAAAAGGCACTATTTAGTGTAAGTTTTTAAAAAATGACACTACCCCTCTACCAAAAAATGAACACAAAGGTTCATTCTGTTATTCTACATACATAAGGCTATCTTGGGCACCATTCTGCTCTGGGCAACAATAGAAGTAACTTGACTGCACGAATGAAATAAACGATTATTTGAGTGCTGTAGATAAGAAAGAACAGAACAAAGAAATCACATTATTCTTATGCCAACTAGAAACTAAAGGAATTCCAAATCCTTTGGGATTTTGTTGGTGTTTTTATTGCTAACTCTCAATGTCTTAGCTTTTCCTCCGATCAGTATATTGCAAAATCCCAGCTTTTCTTTCCCTTTTTTTTTTTTTAATCCTTTTGTGGTTTGAAACCGGCTTCGCAAGCACATATAGATATCAGTCTACACGTAATACTTCACCTCCAAATTCCACTATGAATTCGGAAATTCCTTTGTTAGACAGAGCACACAAAAGGTGTGTTCCTTGAGGAAAAGGAGACCAAAAAATGAGAAGAAAAACCTTTTCTTTATCTCACCATCAAAAGGCCTTACGAACCACTCCTAAACTGGCAGCTTCCTGACCTGACCTACCCATTTTTTTCCTCAAAACTAAGGTCGGCCTAGGCAGTTACAGAGTTTAACAGGTTACATTTGCTGGCTTGTTTTTAAAGGAATGATTACACTATCCAACACTAGCCTTATAATCTAAAGATCTGTAGCTGAGTGACCAGCAAAGAAAAGAAAATCCATCTTTTTTAACATCCAAATATTGATAGAATCGGGATTTTTTTTTTTTTTTTTTGGTGTATTTTCCAAAAACATACCCTTGAAATAAACCATAATCAGACTTAAATTATTATTAGCCTACCAGAAACAGACTGAGGCGAGGCCTGGGAAAGGGTCCCCCTTTCCTTTGTTAGTGATTTTATAAAGAGATTTTTCTGTAGCAAATCGACATCCCCTTTCTTGACCCTTAGTTTGGAAATGCCTGCAAAGCCCTTTCACTCAGAGACCTGAATGTGGGGGAAGAGGGGTGTCTGTCTGTGAAAAGATAAACTGGGGCATATTAAAAATTTCAAGAGTTTATTTGAGCAAAAATCAACTCAAATTGGACAGTGCCTAACCGGAAGTGGTTAGGAGCGCTCCACCTACAGGAGCCCAGGGAGAGACAGAGAAGGTGCAGAAACAAAGAAAGGAAATTATGTGATTGGCTACAGCCTACAGCTCAATCGGCTGTTTGTGATTGGGTGTCCTTAGCTTTTCCATTATGTAACCTTGAGGTATTTACAGGCTTAGATTTTGATTTGCCTACGTGAGCCACCCTGTTATTCGAGCAGGTGCCTCAGTCTCTTGGCCTCCTTGTTTAACTAATTTAACAGTTCAAAGTTGGACATTACCTAGGAGGCCCCTTGATATCTGAATGACTTCCGGAGTCCTGGCTACTAGATGGATCCGCTAAGGTTTATCTCCTACTGTCACTTTAGGGCCTAACTGCTGGAGAGCCAGGCTTGCCCAAGGAAAGAGAAGGATAGGGACCAAGGAAAGTGTTGTTTTATGAACTCTAGAGAATTCAAGAAAAGCCGGACGTATGGAGTTTGGTATACCAGCATAGAAATCATCTTCAGGAATGGTGGGCCAAAGGGCAAGGCCTGTTGAGAATTGTGTAAGATCTCCCGCCTCCCTGTAACGTTTACATTAATGCCTCAGGATCTTTGACAGGGACTGGTGTTTGGGCTTGTTTTCGACTCTCCAAGCCTAAGAGAAGGGAAGAAAAGCTAGGAAGGTATCTGACAAAAAGAAGAGCCATCCGGTTAACCTTTCAAGGAGGAGACGGGAAAAGGCAGGAAATGAGGACTCCGTTCCACCGGTTTGAATCTTCATGTTTGCGTCTGCCCCCAACACCCCCACCAGTTAGCACAATGCCTTGTACATGCCAAGTTAACTAGTTATTGGGCTGAAGTTAACTAGTTATTGGGATGCCTGGCTGGCTCACTCAGTAGACCATGTGACTCTTGATCTTGCGTGGTGAGTTTGAGCCCCACCTTGGGTGGAGAGACAAGGAAGGAAGGAAGAGAGGAAGGGAGGAAGGGAGGGGAGGGGAGGGAAGGGGAGGGAAGAAGGAAAGAATTAGTTACTTGAGAATGAAGCAATGGATAGTAAGTTCACAGGCACCTAAAAGTAAACATGTCCCATAGTAAATGTAAGAGCTTTTGCCACTGTATTGAATACCACAGTGTTTTGTCCAGAACCTCTCTTCAGGAGGTATGCCCCCATCCATTAGCTGCTGAGAATGTTGGCTGCTAATGACTCACAGCTGAGTCCCTCCCTGCAAACTGCCTTGGTACTGACTTGTGCCAGTTCCTGGGAACTGTCTCCACTACGTTTGCCCCACCCCCTCCCCCCCTCCCCCCAGGCCCCGGTCCCAGGTAGCAAGCAACCCCAGGATGGCTGATGTAGAGAT